CAAGCACCCCTCTTAATATAAACGTTTTTAAAGTGGAATTGAGGGTCAAAAGATATGTGTTATGCTAAGCGAAATAAGTCAGTCAGAGAAAGACAAATATATGATTTCACTCATAGGTGGAATTTAAGAAACAAAACAGATGAACATAGGGAAAGGGAAGCAAAAATAAGATAAAAAACAGACAGAGAGGCAAATCATAAGAGGCTCTTAAATACAGATAACAAACTGAGGGTTGCTGGAGGGGTGTTGGCTGGGGGATGGGCTAAATTGGTAATGGGCATTAAGCAGGGCACTTGTTGGGATGGGCACTGGGAATTATATATAGGTGATGAATCACTAAGTTCTACTCCTGAAACCAATACTACACTATATGTTAACTAACCTGAATTTAAATTTTTTAAAAAAGGAGAAAAAAAGATATGTTTAACTGTATTAATACATATTGTCTTTGGACAAAATGTAACATCAAACAGTTTAAACTTTGACTGAATCTTGCCCCCCCTTTAAGTACTCCTCCCACGTCAGGTGGCCTCCCTCCCCATCCATACACCTATCTTGACCCCATTCTTACAAGACCTGAGCAGACTGTTACTTAATTGCTTTAAACAATAAGATATTCACTTTTTACGGCTTTTAATGACTCATTTTCATGAACATGAAAATAACGTCTGGAGCCAAAGAAATGAAGCTATAATGAAGACAACAAAGGCAGAAGAACTATTATGGGCTGACCCTTGACTGATAAACCTCAAAACACACCATTATTAGCCAGGATGAGGCATTTTAAGTTATGATCAGATAATCTGCCCACTTGCAATGTGAGATTTTCTTGATCTGTTTTTGTCAGCACAATTTCTTCACTGGAATGGTCACCCAAAAACTTCCATTCTGACAATCTTTTGTCATTTCCCCCAGCACATTTCCTATTGCCATTACGGAGAAAGAAAGTGGTCTCTGCCACCAAAGAAAATTCACATTTGGACCAGATGCTCCTATCTGTGTTGAACAGGGGCACAGGTTCTTTGACCTCTGTGTTCATTTCTGCAGTCCATTTGGATGGCAACAGCAACCCAGGAGTGTGACCCAATAATTATTACTAAGTCCATTAAACTGAAATTCTACTACATTCTCAGCCACGAGCAACACATAATAATCCTGCAAGGCACATCTGTGGACAAGCCACGGAGGCCATGGAAAATTTACTGTGGGACTCTAGGATCTTATTTCATGTTCTCACATTTCTCTGAAGAAAAAAAATGTTACGTATGAACATAGAGTTAAACTCTTACAAATTGCACAAGGTTACAAAAGAAAAGAGGAATCCAATCTTGAAAACTCGGTCTAAAAATAGCTATGAATATACAGAATGTAATTTTTTATAATTTTTTTTCAACGTTTATTTATTTTTGGGACAGAGAGAGACAGAGCATGAACAGGGGAGGGGCAGAGAGAGAGGGAGACACAGAATCGGAAACAGGCTCCAGGCTCCGAGCCATCAGCCCAGAGCCTGACGCAGGGCTCGAACTCACGGACCGCGAGATCGTGACCTGGCTGAAGTCGGACGCTTAACCGACTGCGCCACCCAGGCGCCCCCAGAATGTAATTTTTTAAAACTTAACCCAAATGAGTGACTACTGTTTTTTTTTCTTTCCATCTGTGTGATGTTTCAAGTGATACCCTCCTTTTATGAAGTCTGATTTTCTATTATCCTCTTACACATAGTAGGCACTCAATAAATGTTTATTGCAATGAGGTAAATTTAATACACTTAGATCAATATCTTTCACACATCCCTTATAGTAAGTTTATAGTCAGAAAACAATGTTGACAACAGCCATTTCAGAGACAATACCAAAGGGAGCTCTCCAAACACACCTGAGGTAAATTACTAAATTCTAATTTAAACCAAAGCCAATATTACCAATTTGTTTTAAATGACTTGTCCAGCTCTTAGAAGAGAACAATGATTTGGGGAACAGAAGTAGATCAAGAAGACTGAGAGTGAGTGGCAGGAGTAAAGGGATACATATTTGCAATTCTGGCTTCCTACAGTGAATAGTCAAAAGCTCTCCTACCAGAAAATAATATCTTGAATTGAAAAGCATTCAGATCATGGTGGATTTCTAACTCTATTGAATTTCCTCCTCCCAGGCAGCCTATTTACAAAAGCAGTATGATCACTGTTAATATTGTCATTTAATAAACACATTTCTGATGGGGAAAAAAATATATAACCCAACTATATCCCGACATGTAAATAAAGATTTCTTCTTAAAATATTAGCTTTGTTTGAGGTTGTTGCTTTTCTTTTTAAACTGATCTCTTAGGAATTAAAATATACCAACAAATGGAATTAGTTACACAAAGCAATAAAATACGTTCTTCCTAATATGCAAATATCTTCCTACGTTCTCAGGATAACAGCACACTGGAAGGACAGGGATACTGAGAACTGTCATTTAAAATGCCCGAAAGTGTTTTTTAAATCAGAAACCATATTCAAGCAGCTCTTTTTCACTGTGATGTACTTTGCCCCTCTATTCATTCAAAACTTCTTAGTAAGCACTTATACATCATCACCCTGATGTCTCACTAGTTCCTTGGGTGACTTCCTCTGAAGAGTAAACAGATTTGAACAGGCAAAAAAAATAACACATCCTCTGCTCACATTACACTGATGTGCCTTACAAGAATCATTTCAGACACAAATTTTCTCATTAGTGGAGAATACTCTATTTAGTAAAACAACTTTAACTTAAATATCATCATAGAAATCTTTTCAAAGATAAGATAATGCTTTTCTAAACCAATTACAAATTTTAAAAATGTATTCCTACAGTGACCAATTAATCTGGTTTGCCCAGAACTGTCCCAATTTCAAAACTAAAATTCCTGCATCCTGGGAGCTCCCTTCAGACCCAAACAAACAGGGACAACTGGTCACCCTACAATAAGCAATATTTGAATGCAAATATCAGAAGGGTCAAGCCATTCTTTTTCATTGAATTTAAAAGCCTCTGTATGTATGTATAAAGCACTGTGCTGAAAAGCAGTCGGTCAGGGTTCAGGCAAGAGTTGGGTGGCATGGCCAAACTAATTTAAGGAGACTTTCATAAAGAGGTTATTGACGGAGGTACGGGAAGAGTTAGGGAATCCAACAAGATGTTGGGCAGGATCCTGGGCTAGCAACAGTAGGGAGACACTAGCACCTGAAGAGGTAGATTATCAGAACCTGAAGAAGGCAACTGTTCAGTGAGAGATGTCCTCCTGAATTCACCACAACCCAGGGGGGAGGGAGCCTAGACCTCTGTGTCCTTCCACTCTCCAGATTTGCAAAGATGCCTCCCCTTGGTTGTATCCAACTAGAAGGCAGAGGAAGGAAGCCTGTTGATAAAGTTCTCATCTGTCAGCATCCCAAGCCATGGAGCAGAGCAAAGACTGGGTCTGCAGGGGCCCAAACAGAGTTAAGCCTGGCTTCTGCTTTTAGCAATTTAAAATATAGGAGAAATCTTAAAGCATTATTTCAGATGCACACCTACCATCTCCCTGTACCATTTGCTAGCACCAAAAAACTGAGTGTTGAGATATAACTAGCCCTTGGGGAAGTAAATAGAAATTGAGTTTAGGGGTGCCTGGGTGCTCAGTTGGTTAACTGTCCAACTTCAGCTCAGGTCATGATCTCATGGTCCGTGAGTTCAAGCCCCGTGTCAGGCTCTATGCTGACAGCTCAGAGCCTGGAGCCTGTTTCAGATTCTGTGTTTCCCTCTCTCTCTGACCCTCCCCTGCACATGCTCTCTCTCTCTCTCTCTCAAAAATGAATAAATGTTTAAAAAATTAAAAAAAAAAGAGAAAGAAATCAAGTTTAGTTCTTTATGCCTTTTGGCATGGTCTATCTTTAGTTAACTTAAAATGAATGAACCCTGAGAGTTCAAGAGATATTTGTAGAAATATTAAAGTATCTACCTCTGCTACTTTCATGATTGAGTCAGAGTTTGAATTGTACATCTATTCCTTCCCTTAATAACTCCAACAAAATAATTTGAGGATATCTGCAAGGTGGCACTAAGTTACCTTGTTGGATTTACTCTGTGGTATTCTGCCAATATTTTTACTCTGAAGCAACCTTCTCTTATCAAAAGCAAGAGTCTCCATGCTTTTCCAAAGTTTGTCCATTCTCATCAAAACTGGGAACAAATGGGCAGATTACCCAGTAATGCAAGTAACTGTATTATACACTGTCGGCTGCATCAGATTTTCTAAGTGACAACTTAGATTTACAGAAGAAACATTACAGGAAATCGCTACCAATGTGATCCCCAAAATGCTTCCTTTCGTATTATCCTCTCCACCACCATTCATTCAATGTTTAGAGGTGAAAACACCAATAAATGTATCATAAAGTTAGCTTTCATTCTGATAGCATTCAAACTGCTGAAATTCCCCCACACAATTACAGCATCATGGCAGCTAATGTCTCACAAAAAGACCACAGGTTGTCATGCAAAAAGTGCCTGTTATCTTTAAAGTGATTGTGAATAGGTTACTGAGTCTCCACTCCTTCCTTTGTAAAATGAGGGAAATAATGGATAACTCATTGATTGTTATAAGGATTAAGTAGTAATATAATTTCAAAAAAATACCTGACAGGAAGTAGGCCCAAAATTAATGTCCACACTCATACTCTCTGCCTTACCCTAGTATATATTATATATACATTTAGATACATAGTTTTGGTAACTTTATATTTTAGTAACTAAAGAAAGTATGCCATAGAATCTGCAAACATATCTGCTCATCTCTGCTCCTTGACATTGAGTAGCCATCGGCAAATACGGCAGATGAGTTCAGACAAGTATGGCATTCCATTGAACAAAGGGTTTTCAGAGAAGTATGAGTTTTCTTTGTTTTAACCCACTTGAGGTAATCCAAATCGGTAAGTAATGAAGTGTAGCCAAGCAACATGCATTCAGGAGAGGCAGAAGGGTAGAAATCTTACCTATTTATTGAGAAGAAAATTTAAGGGGTCTTCTCAGACACAAAAAGAACTTCATGTCCATATGTGAGGTAGATGGGCAATATACATCCCTTCAGACACTCCGGGCTCACCTGCTGTGGGGGGGCATGAACCAACACCGAACAATGGGGAAAATGATCAAGTCATCCCTCTGACCAAATATCTTCTTTTTTTTTTCCCCAAAGCGTGGTGTTTTCTTTTCTCCTTGTCTCTCTCCATTCCATCCATCCCCCCACCCCCACCCCCACCAAAAGAAATTAAAATTTTGAAGTACCTCCATTTGATATTTAACATAAGCCCTGAGTGGCCACGGATTCTCTTTCTTACATTTTCACTGACAAACTGCTTCCAGCTGCCCTTTTGGGTGGGACGCCACCACAATAAAATGCACTGTTTGCTGAGGATTTCAGCTGCCACCTGGGGGCTCAGCGTCCTCAATGAAGGCTATTTAAGCAATGCTGGTGGTGAAATGGTGACAAATGGTATGTTGACTTTTTTTCTGGTGTTTGTGGTTTAGGACTAGTTGGTTTCAGTCTTGCTGGCTCTTGCTTCCGTGTTACCAATCTTTTCCACATTTAAAGTCTGTTACTGCCTCTCCTTCGGGGTTATGGCAGCAAGCTTTGTGCTGTTGACAGAAGCCATTTGTTGAGTGGAAGGTTCATATTTTAGAATACTGGCAAGGACTGATTTTACAGTTAGTTAGTCCATGGTTCTGAATTTACGTTTACTTTTTTAAGGGTTTTCTTTTTTCACCTAGCTGAAAAGTGTTTCTTCATTAGGTTGTTATCACTCCATTCACATGAAATGGCCTTGACTGCTACTTCTTTTATCTCTAGTCACACACGGTAAAATTAGGCTTGAGCCCACATGATTAGCCAGAGACTGGTCCACATGTGAGTCACATTTGCTCTCTAAACATCTCGGTGGCTTCACTGGTAAGATGGACTTTGTCTCAAGCTCAACCCCTTATATGTCACCTTTCTTATCTCTGGAGTCCCTTCCTTAGCCTTGGTGGCAGTTCTCAAAGATGATCATCTTTGTATCTTTGCCTCGGCTTCCTCCTGTTCAGTTCCTTCTCCTTACACTGCCTTCCTCCTTCATCCCTCGCAGTTCTAGAACACATGCAGTTATTTCTGCTTCAAGGTCCTGAGCTGACTGTTGGCTAAACTAAAACATGGCTGAACCCAAAGTCCTGAGAAAGGACAGTTTCCACTCTACTCCTGAAGAGGAGTCTTGGACTCTTGCTTCTAAAGGGAAAGAAAGTACATTTCATTGAGGGCTCATCAGGAATCCCAGCATGCCCTTGGGCAGAAGGCATTGGCTACTGTAATAGCTTTCTGCTTCCAACTGTAAAGAGATCCAAGAGCAATTTACCTTCAAAGAGATGCCATGGGTTCAAGACCCTTTCTGTGAACTTCCTACTTTGTGCACTCCAATACAACAAGGTCAGGTGGCCATTTGAAGTGGAAAAAATGATTTTTCTCCAATCCAAAACATGCTTGGAGTACAACTAGAGGCAACCTAAACTACTTGCATAGTTCCACATTATTCCACTAATTTAGTACAAACCCATATGTACACAGGCTTGGACCTGGTCTCACTTCTATTTCTCAAGCCCAGTCCCCACCTTCCCAGAGCTCTTGCTTCCTCCTAGGTCCCAATCTCCCTCTAAGTATCACCTTCCCAGAGCTCTTGCTTCCTCCTAGGTCCCAATCTCTCTGTAAGTATCAAGCCAATTGAAAATCAACTTTATTTAAAATCTATTGCATACCTCCTCAGTCTAGTAGGATAGTCATCCATGCAGAGTCATAAATTACAACACAGAGTGATCAGAACAATCGAAGTGGGACAAAATCCCTCTTCTCCAAACACATGAACCCCACCTCTATAGCATCCTTGTTTCTGCCCCTGGAATCTCTCCAAACCAGACTCTCCCTCCTGTTGGCACACAGCCTAGATCAAACATCCAAAGAGGCCCTGCTACCTTTTCCTGCTCAGTCCTCCTTCAAGCCTGTGTGAATCCACTTTCTCTGAAACTTCATTTTGCATGGGTGCACTCATGCATGCTCACACTCATACTCTTACACACTCACACCACACACACATACACACACACACACACACACACACACACACACACACCCTGCAGAATCAACAAGTCATGCTGAGAATACAGAACTCATATCCATATTTCCAGATTATTCTCAGACCTTTTGTATATCCATAGCCCAGACAGACGAAGTTACTCAGTCTGTTCACTGTTTTGATGGAGGGAATATCTGTCAAACCAAGACATAGACCTAATGAGTCCTGTTACATCAACATGCAGAAGACTTGGTACTTCAGGAATTATGAATCCATCATTGAAAAAGGTGAATGACCCCATCATCTTTTGACTATTAGGATCAAAAGGTAAAGATTCTAATATAGGTAACCTGAAACATCCAAAAATCCAAAAGCTTTTCTGGTCTGAAAGCATCAGCCAATATTCTTCCAGAAAATATATTTTCCTGGTGATGTTTGGATTGAGATGTTATTAGAATAAGTGTCTACACCACGGGTAGTCTGCAAACTATTCAAGGTAAGGTCTGGGTGGCACAATGAAACTAGTGTGAGAGTAAAAGTATCCGCTGAAGGTAAACTATAGAATTGATAATGGAGACTTAATTCTGTGTTTTTCCAAACACAGATAATATAACTTACATGTTCCCAAGTGAGGGAAAGAAATTCTTTGGGAGACAAAGTTGAATGGCTTCGGTACTTGGCTCAGCAAGTCAGTTTTAAAGTCGTATTCACGAGCTACACTGGATTGGACTCCAGGGGCCAGGAGTAAAGTCAGTGAAACATCGATTGTATTCCCTATAAGTATTCTCCTCCAATAGGCAGTTGAAGAAACCAATGCACATCCACAGTGTGTCTGTCCTCAGATAGAAGAGAAGAGCTACAAAAAAAAATTATAAAATATAATATATACAGTGTATGAAATATATAAAAACATGTAATATACAATATATAAATATAAAATATAGAGCATAGATAGCATAGTGTGTTGTAAATATATGTATACACAGACTGTACTATATTAATCACAGACTTCCTAACCTTAAGGAGCTTACCATCTAGGCAGATGTGCAAATCCAACCCCTTGTCAACAACAAATTGCCCAGAGAGAGAGGAAAGGATATCACCTGAGCCAGAGGACTCTGGGAAGGAAGGCTCCACAGAGGCCTTTGGATCCGATGTGGAAGAATGAAGAAAAAAAAAAAAAAATCAATGAAGACAGAACGCAAGGAGAGTTAGTCTAGTCACAGGGCACGGTAAGAGCAAAGGACTGGGAAATGCACGCTCTACAAGATACAAGAAAAGTGTGCCCTGTGATCGGGCTCCGTGTGCATGAGATGTCATTGGAGAGGTCACTGGAGTTGAGCCCAGAAAGAAATCCGACGCCAGGCCACGCAGGACGTTTAATGCCGTGCTAAGAAGTTTCGTTGTTATCCCGAAGACGGTGAAGCCACCACCTGTTTTTCTGGAGGAGCCTGATATGATTCAATATGTGCTCTAGGAAGACACGTGGTGGCCGTGCTGTGGAAGGGTGGGAATGGAGAGGAGCTAAAAACGGGGAGGCCCCTTAAGGAAACGGGCCTCCGGTAAAATCCGGGGAATTTAAGCACACACATAGGTCCTTCTAGCACTCTCTGTGCAGGCCTGCCCCTCCTCCACAGAAGCCTCCCCTGGAACATTCTCAAGCCCCCACCCAGCCTGTGTTCCTCCGGGGGCACTTTTTTGAGAGAGAGACAGAGACAGAGACAGAACACGAGTGGGGGAGGGGCAGAGACAGGGAGATACAGAATCCCAGGGAGGCTCCAGGCTCCGAGCTGTCCGCACAGAGCCCGAAGTGGGGCTTGAACTCACGAGTGGTGAAATCCTGACCTGAGCTGAAGTCGGACACTTCCCCGACTGAGCCACCCAGGCGCCCCTGATGCTTACTTAGCATTGCACATGCTAGGCCGGCTGTCACGTGACTCCAGCGTTTGCTCCTATGTTTGGAACATCGCACTTCTGGTAGCACAATCTGTGCGCATCTCGTTCAAAGCCACTTAACACTTTTGGCTGATAGAAGTCTTACAGTTAACAAAGCCCCACGGTTTTTACACGAAATGCTGCTAAATCATGAATCTCCCACCCTCTCTTCGTTTTTATGAGTAGTTAAGATAGAAGCCCTACCTATAGTAGTAAAGCTGCTAATGTAGTAGATTACTTAAATAACCAGCATGCCTTTTAAAGGGGGCTGTTATGATCTAATTCAAATGACAACAATCCAGGGTCTGTGCCTGGCCTCAGTCTAACGCATATCCTTTGTGAGCAGAAAGGGGTTTTAAAAAAAAATTTTTTTTAACGTTTATTCATTTTTGAGGGATACAGAGAGACAGAGCGTGAGTGGGGGAGGGGCAGAGAGAGAGGGAGACACAGAATCTGAAGCAGGCTCCAGGCTCCGAGCTGTCCGCACAGAGCCTAACGTGGGGCTGGAATTCACTAACCGTGAGATCATGACCGGAGCCAAAGTCGGACACTTAACCCACTGAGCCAGCCAGGAGCCCTAGAAGGGGGCTTTTTGACCCTGCCCCCACTACCTCCCATCCACCTCCCATCCTTGCATTCTTAATCCATAAACTATTCCTTGGAGTAAGGAATCAAAAATCAATATACGTAAAAAAATTCAAGGTATTGGTAATGTGTGGAGGGGAAGGAGAGAGGTGGTAATATTTATTTTGGGTGTCAAATACAAGGGAATCGTTTTATTTTATACCCTTTTGTATGTATGGAGTACTACACGATAAAAAATTTTAGTATATAATAATTTTAAAGGCATACGTGGGGTTGGTTTAAAGTGGGAAGAAAATTCTCTATGATCCTTCTGTTTTGCATTTTTTTTAAGAAAAAGAGGTAATGGAGAAAAATGAGGAGAGAAGACATTAAATAAGCACAATGAAAGGAAGAGAAAAAGATTTAAGATGGAGAAAGTAGGTGAAAGTAAGGAAAAAGATTCAAGCTGGGAAGACAGACAGCAATGGTGAGTTTGGAAGGAAGACTTATTTGCCTGGTGGGCACAGAATGAGGCAGGAGACCAGCCAGATGAATATGGCGACTACCCACAACACTGAGAAGAGATGGGGTTGGAAGAAATGGGAAGGTGCCTCAAATCCTTCAAAAGCTCTCAGCAGATCCACCCCACCTTCTGGCCATCAGCCTCAGCCATTTGAGGTAGTCAAACCACTCCACCCCCAACCCCCCCCCCCCCCGCCTTATTGTCCAGACCACGGCCCATAGGCAGGAAGCACTGACACCAAGGTCCTGCCAGTGTGTCCACCAGACGCTCCCTCACAGCTCTGGCTCAGATTCTCCTTACACATTAGGTATCTGCCCCGTGACTCAGCCTGCTGTCCTTCCTTCCCTCCCCCAGGGCCTGAGCAGCAGCCTGCCAAACCATAATCAACAGGAGCCCTGCAAGCCTCAGGAGCAATGGCGACATCTTTCCAGTGAAACCTGCCGGGTAGGTGTGCGGACTATCAAGGACTTGGTTGGTCACAATGGGACTCCAAACCTCAGGGTAAAAGTCACACTGCCCTCTCCCCCCATCCCCACCCCCCCCCCCATGGCAAAATTCCACTTGAATTAAAGAGTTACATGTTTTTAAAAAGTGAAACCATAAAAATATATGTAACTCAGATAAGTAAAGTAAAAAAAAAAAAAAAGTGGGTTGTGTAAAAAAAAAGAACAAATGGATATGCAAGCACATGAGACCAGTACAATGGACAGTCTGAACTGTGTGGGGTATGCCATGAAATAGCTTCTTTTTTTTTTTTTTTCTTCAACCTCTGCCTTCAAATCTTCCTTTCTCGACTCCTTGGGCTGAACACACAGCTCTTTAGTCATTCAGCTTCAAAAGCAGTCTCATTCTGGTCACTAAGATTCTATTGCATATATTAAAGTCCAGGCTAAGTCAAAGATTAATTTCATATCCATTCACATCCAAAGGCTTTTCCCCTCCATCCATCCTAGGCTGGACTTGTGGCCCAAGGGTCCATCTGGGAAGGAGGAATAAGGTTCTCCTTTTGCACGGTTCTTCCTTTCTCTCCCTCTCCCTGCTGCTTCTAACCCCTCTGAGGGTGGGTGGGGGTGAGGGGATGGAGGACAAGAAGAATAGGGCAAAAGCACTTTCACTGGACTCTTGCAGCCTCATCTGTCTTGGTGGTTGTGCTCTTGTGCCTGGAGGGGCCCACCCATGGGTGGTACTATTGTCTGACCCAGAAGATGCTCTCCAGGTAATCTCCACTCACAGCCTCACCCCCAGGCAACCATCCCAGCAATGCCCATCACAGCCTGAGGGTTGGGGAGAGGAGCCACCTTGAATGGGGTACCAGCAAGATAGCACAACTCAATTTCTACTAGTGACAACTTGGAAGCTTCTCATTTGGCTGTGAGGGACCAATGGGAGAAGCACCCCAAACCACAAACCCTCTATCCAGATCTTTCTCGTGAATAGATTCTCTTGGTAGTCTTATGTCAAAAGACTTATGGACCTCTTCTTAGAATGTTTATAAAATAAAATATGCAATATTACAAAGGAAACTAATATTATAAAGGAAAAAAACATTTTTTTAAATTTGTACTCTAATGTATGCTGCCTCATGTAACAATCCTCGCAGTGATTTCTAAGTGGTGCTGAGTGTAAATGATATTTTGAGGTATCTGCAACAACTGTGTGTAACATGAAAACACCTGTGGCTTCTACTGGTGACAAAGTTACATGTATTGCTGATACTACTATGGTTTGTTGTCTACATTCGTAATGGAAGGAAATGCTAAATTTCAGCCAGAAGATAGTAAAAATAAGGACGGACTTATTCTTCCCACTCATGATCATGAACCCCCTGAATTCCATCCACAAATCCCTGAGGACTCCAGATCAAGAAATGCTACTCCAGCGAATGCTCCTCCCACAACCTTCCTGCCTCTGCATATATAGGTCAGAAAAGGTTAGGGAGGTGGCTGCAGGGCCGGTTTGGTGGCCTCTTGGTGAGATTTGTAGCTCCCTTAAGATTAGAGAAAATTAAATCCAATAGTCATCAGCTTGGGGACACACAACTCTGAATCGGTGTGAAAAAGTCCACTAAATGACTTGTTGCTGCAAATGTACTTTCTGCTCTACATTGATGAAAATACTCTGGAATTGGTGTCCAAGAAGCTGTTAAGAGTAAATACCTTGGGGGAGTGGAGGTGGAGGTTGGGGTAAACGGAAGGGAATTACTTTTCATATTAAACCATATAATGAAAAGCGACTTTAAAGAAAACTTTAAAATTTTTCCAAAGGAAACTGTATGTTATTTTAAACTGATCTAAGGCTCATAAGGAGTTTCTAAGCATAAAAGCAATAGAAAAATGATGGGGATGATTGACAGATGTGATTACACCAAAGATAAGTCAAAACATACTGATATCACAAACTAAAAGAATAATAACAAACTTGATGAAATATTTGCAATAAAAATTACAGAAAAGGAGCTAATAGTCTTATATTATGAAACAATCTTATAAATCAATGGGGGAAAACAGTAACATGCTACAAACGGCTGTTCTAGACTTTTCTTTCTGCCCTGATTCTATCATATCTACCTACAGAGAACAAGTGACCAGAAAAGAAAGAGAATCCTAAACATACAGATGAATTTCCAAGATTCAGTGGTGGCTGAGGCCACTCCCACTTTTCTTTTAATTCCCAGTTTAGTCCAATCCACTGGTGTTTCAAACTGGTTAAGGCTTGGAGGACCCAGGGCCAAAGTGGACCTGAGCCTCTACAGGTCCTTTTCCTTCCTCTAGAAGGAAAATAAGTGAATTTAGTCATCTCCCATCTAGGGTATATTTAGAGTTAAGTGGTACCCTTACAATAAGGATGCAAGAAAATTTCTTGAAAGATAAAATGTCATGTTTATTTGTACCTGGCCTTCTGGTAGAGCATCATGCCATGTGTACAACAGAATGGCTTTTGGAGACCAAATAAAGTTGGATTCAAGTCCTGGTTCTGCTGCCTTTTACTGTCTATAAAACTTGAACAAGTCACTTATCTAGATCTTTGTTTTCTCATCTGTAAAGTGGGAATGATGCCTCCTCATAGGGTTGTTGTAAGGTTAAGAGATGGTATATGAGATCTACCTCATACCATACACACAAAAAGACTTCAAAGAAATAAATGTTTAACTAAAACATGAAAACATTATGAAATACAGGATAATTTCTTTATGACCTTGGAATAGGAAATGATTTCTTAAGCAAGGTCCAAAAAAAGGCAAATGATAAAAATATATATACATGAATTAAA